GAATTTGCATACACAACCGATTTCCTCGCGGATGCCTTTCGATAGCTTTTTTTAAGGGTTAGGGTCTCAATTTATTATTTGTTTCTAACCATAACAAAATCTGTCTGTCTATCTATGTTCAGTGTCTTCACCATATGGCCGTGGTCTATTCATAGTTTACAGGATATCCAAATTCAAGTTTAAAAATTCTTAGGTTTGTAGAAGTGGGTTCCAGCTTGAAATCTGCAAGAGTTTAAGTGTCAAAGCCAACACTTTATGTGACACTTTGCCAGCCTTCCAAGATTTTTGTTTTGCTTTATTGTTTCACCCACAACACAGACTATTCCACTCGTGGACCACCCAGATTGGAAGCCATTGCTTTCCAAATTTAAAATAAGAGAAATCTGCCCGTTTGTTTTTGCAGTCCTTCTTTCCCTCTTTTGCCCTATCTAGAATTTTTTCCAATCCTCCTTTCTGCATACTAAGATATGCTACTCTGCAAAGAATGCTACTCAACAAAAGCAATCATTCCTGCTTACTGCATCATGAGCATTATTGCAGAGTACTGTGATGGAGTGTAGTCTGGATTACGAGGAGGGAAAGGCTGCATTTCAGAGCAATAAGAAACAATGAAGTTTAGGTTGGGAGGAAAAGGCTCAAGTTAGCTCTTCCCTAAAAGTTCACTAAAAGTACATCTTCTTCCTCCCAATCTAAACTTCACTGCCTCTTGCTCCACTGCAATGCAGCCCTTTGGATCCCACACTACTGTCAAGATTGAACTGCTTTGCTTCTTTCATACTCTTAACACTATTCAACTTGCCAATAAATAGGGGGGGGGGAGAGATAGGGAAGGGTGAAGCCATTTTAAGGCACAACAGGCTGTATTTTAACAGTACACACACCCTGAGAGGTGATAGGGGTGTCTTACGCCCCACAATATTTATTTCCAGAGAGTAAGTCATTGGTGTACCAAGTTTGGTTGAAATTGCTTGAGGTGCTGTGACAAAACATCATATATACACCAGTCTGAAGATGGCGAGTGGGATCTCACCGAAACGTTGCCAAGACAATCTCAATCTTACAAGACCACCGTGTGTGTGTGTGTGTGTGTGTGTTGATAAATAAATAAAGGGAGACTAGTATAGATCTATTTCAAGTTATTTAGCTCTCATCAGCTAGCCATACCCTTACTGGGATTTGAACCTTGGCTGTTTTTCTTACATGTTACAACTGCCTAACACGTAAAAAAAAAACAGCCCAGGTTCGAATCCCAGTAAGGCCAGCTGATGAGAGCTAAATAGCTTGAAATAGATCTATACTAGTCTCCCTTTATTTATTTATCAGCACAAATGCAACACAAAAATGGTTTCCTGCCTGGAAGGCTCCTAGGGTGGAGCTGAAAGGCAAAAGGGAAGCAGTATGCTCCCTCCCATATTTGGGCATACCAGCTGCTTTGACATGACACACACACACACACACACACACACACACACACACACGGTGGTCTTAAAAGACATACATACAGTATATATTTATGTTCTGCAGAGCTGAACTCAACACCTTCCTATAAACATCGTGTTTTTTTAAAAAAAAACATTGCTGACAATGTACAAATAGTGTATTTAGGACATACATCAATTCCATCTAAGGAAGCGGAAATCTTTGTAAGCCATTTGTAGTATAGATGTGGTTAATGTTCAAGCCATTTCATCTTCTGCAGTAATTTAAATATCTGAAAAAGTCTACAGCATCTAAAGAGACAGCGTGGGCTGTTTTATCTAAAATTTCTCCATCTGACAGTAAGTCAGCCAACCGAAGAAAGGCAAGCAAATATCCCATTCCCCCCCCCACTCCCAGATCGTCACTTATGCTTTCTTATCCCATTGTATTTTAAATTCAGTTCCCCAAAGTTTAAGTTACAGTATGTGTATTGAATATGCATATATTGGCTAATGCTACGATTTCAAAATTAAAACCGTTTAATTGGTTAATCTTTGCTCTTGAAGAGAGAGAAAAAATGTGTGGCTGCAGATATAGTTCAGCTAACTTAATTATGTTGGAGTATTAAGAAGTTATCATTATCAAATCTCCTCTGCATATTTCACTTAATTATCACTGAAAAGCAGGTCCCATGGTATCTAAAGAGGGGTAAAAAAAAAGAAGAAGATCATAATTGGAAACTCGAAATCACTTTAAAGCAAGCACCTTTGCAGAAAGCATGGGAAGCCGAACACGGCCACCAGGGAAATATTTGTTCTTGCAAGCAGACAAATTAATTGAATAAAATCTGAATGCTTTCGTTTGCGAGACGGGCCTGGGCTGCAGGGGCGATGTTGATAAAAGTTAAACAAGCACTGCCACCTTGCACTATCTGTGTGCAAAGAACACCTGTGTGCTATCACACATTATTGGCTGCGTCCCGCAGAAGAACCAATTAATTTCTGGCTCGGTTGCAAGAAATGTTGAAACGGTGGCAAAGCTAGAAAACAGAATAACAAGAGTTGGAAAGGACCCTGGAAATCTTCTAATCCAACCCCCTGCTTAGGCAGGAAACCCTACAGTGCCTCAGACAAATGGATAGCCAACATCTACTTTAAAACTTCCACTGTTGGAGCATTCATAACTTCTGGATCTTTGCATCTTATGATTTATGTTGATTGCTTATTTAGTACGCTATGACTATCACTAAGTGTTTGCATCTTATGATTTATGATGAATGTATTTTTTATGTACACTGAGAGGTTATGCACCGAAGACAAATTCCTTGTGTGTCCAATCACACTTGGCCAATAAACAATTCTATTTATTCTGTTCTGTTCTGTTCTGTTCTGTTCTGTTCTGTTCTGTTCTGTTCTGTTCTGTTCTACTCTACTCTACTCTACTCTACTCTACTCTACTCTACTCTGTAAAGCTGTATGAGTGTCTCCTTTCTCGGTCCACTTTTAAACTATGATAATCATCCAGCACAAAGGAGTAATTTCAAATTAGATGGTGTGGTCTTCTTTTATAATTCATCCCCACACTCTTCCCACCAATGCATGGATGTGGAAGTCAGTATTTCCTCTCTTACTGCAATGGAAATCAAATCTGAAATCCTGGCTGAACTTCATTGCCCCTTTCACACAGTTACCCTATGGTTTTCTAATAAACGCATAGGGTGGAGCTGTGCAATAGTATAAAATCATCAATGGCTTAGCCAGGCAACTGGTCTCGAGTCAAGATGGCCTTTTCAGATTTCTCTGGGATTGCCACAAAGCCTTTCTTCCCATCTCTACAATTATAGCAGGAGGGATTAATGAATGCATTTGCTAATGGAATAAAATGTGGAGTGTAATTGAGGGGACATTGCTCTTCTAGACATAAATGAGACAAAAGACTGTTGCC